GCACACTAATACATGAATGAAACATGCTTTATGAACAACTGAATCATCGTTATGTGTCCTAATAGAGTCCAGTGGAAGCTATTGAGTGACCTTTCGGGTGCTGCTCCGTGCTGTGGACGTTTTGTGCTGATGTCTGAATGGAGTTTACTAAGGGTTTCGTTTGCTTTTTTGTATTTAGTGGGCACTGCCAATACAGGGATCAATGAGGACCGGAGTGAAAGGGAACCCATGCAGGGACTCGTCTGGCTCTCCTTGAAGGCATTGTGTGCTTAATAGGACAAAATTCATTATAGGCCAATGCAACAATGATATACTAGTGTGAATTTTAGGAAGCCTAGCTGTCTGAGGTATATTTCACCTTGAAATCAAAAGTAAAATTTATTATTGAAAAAAAAAGAAAAAACATGCATTTTGAATGAAATTATTTATTAAATGAAAAAAAAATATATATATATATATATATATTATATATATATATAAACAAATAGATTAAAGGAAAATATACAGTATTATTATTACATTTGCTCTGAAACGTCTTTTTTTACCATTAAGATATTTTTAGATGCAGTTTGATTGACCTTATTTGAAAGAAAATTATTTTATTTATTAAATGAAAAATTATCATTTGTAAATCACAAATAAAAATATTATAAAAATATATGCATTATAAGTATTTATGCATTATAGTGATATTTGTTTTATAGCCTTATACCAATTTAGAGGAATAAATTAAAGGAAAAATAGTATTATTATTACTTTTTCTCAATAAATACAAGCCTTTTTTGATCATGAAGATATTTTTAGATTTATTTTTACCTTATTTTAATGAAAATTATTATTTATTAAATGAAAAATGAAATTTGTTTTATAGCCTTATACCAATTTAAGAGAATAAATTAAAGGAAAAATAGTATTATTATTACTTTTGCTCAATAAATACAAGCCTTTTTTGACCATTAAGATATTTTCTAGATGTATTTTTACCTTATTTTAATGAAAATTATTATTTATTAATTGAAAAATTATAAGTATTATGAACATTTTAAAGTATTTACACATTCTAGTAATATTTGTTTTGCAGAAGATCAGCAGTAAATAATGACTTTTGGTTATTGTATTAAAAACTTTTTTAAAGTTATTGTATGACTTATAATATAACGCATACTTTTTATAATGCAAACTTTTTGTAATTGTATTAAAAAGAAACTACAATCAATTATATTAAAAATGGCCAGAATATTTTTTTTTTTTTAAATCTAATTTTGTGTTTCATAAAGAAACTCATGAGTTTATAACGGCATGAGGGTAAGTAAATAATGACCAAATTTTAAATAAATTTTCCTTTTAAAAATCTAAAAAAGGATTGTATAACAGTAAAAAAAGTTTTAAAATACCATCAAATGTAGATATGTACATCCGATAAGCACATTTATCCCAGCACACAGCATTGTTTTGGATGTTCGGTAAGTTCCATTACGAAATATGAAATATGTCATAAAAGCCAACCAATCAAGTTGTGAACATATCCCAGTGCCTTTAGGTTAAGTATCAGTAGTTTTAGTGTTAAAATGCCAATAAGAATGCTAATGGACCAGGACTCAGTGTTGTTGTTTTCAGGACCAAACGAACCAAGCGAACCGAACTACAAGTGTGAACAAACCCTTGATCCCACGAAGAATTGGACTTTTGACATTAAGCTCATACACGATGTCTCCCGCACAGTATTTCTCTGTCAAAGCAGATGATGCACCCCAGAGAGTGCCATCAGCAGTGAAGAGAGACGGAAAGAAGCCCCACTCTCTCCTCCCTTCACTCAGTGTTAGACGTGGATGACACTGTGAAAAGTTGATGCGCTCCACCTGAGATGTGTGCGTATGTGTGTGTGCATAACACAGGGCACCTGTCTCTATGTGGAAACACAGAGGGTGTAGAAAATGCCTCAAAATCTGGGTGTTGGAGGTTCAGAGTCCACTGGTCATAATAGGCCATCAAGTCTTGATGTGTGCACCTGGGTCCTGGGCTGTCGCGAGAGCTCCGGTCCACAGCTGGAGGACACAATGATGTCATTACATCACCCAAATCCATCGCAGCTGCAGATAACCCATAATAAGACTCGTATGTCACATGTTTTTTTACTAAGTGCATTTGACAAAGGATGCATGCAGAAAATCGAACACCTGCTTGCGAATATGTCAGGAATCTGAGAAGGAAATTTAGAAATAGCGAAGAAAGCTAACCCACCCACACTGAGATAGATTAGTGTGTAGTGGATGACTTCCACCATGCCAAGCACCTTTTGATTAATATATGTTTGAATTGCAAAGTGCAATGCATTTCCACCAGGATGCTCTTGCAAATGCAAAATAATAAGCATCTCTTACTGAAATGTTGGCATGCTGACAGTCACGTACTGGTGTTGGGATGCTTTCAGTCTCTCTTGTTTGGACAAATCCGACAAAGCCTTTGAGTTTAAGAAGAGTACTGGTTATCAAACTAAATGAGATTTTATTTTAAAGATGAGAAATGCCAAAAGTCACATATCTTCTGGGAATCATGTCGATCGCAGTTGTCCGTGGAGAAATGTATGGGAATAAATGAAAGTTTTATCTTCTCAATAGTGGTGTCCCGCATGGAATGCAGCATAAGGGGAAATTCGTTCAGTGCCTTTCCTCCATCTGTGCATGTTTTAATTAGGGATGCTCCGATCGATCGAGATGGTCCTCACTGCGGAACATGAAATCCATGGGGAGGAGTCGGATCCAGATCCAACTCCTCCCACCTTACATACACCTAAACCTAACCAACTCCGCCCCCTGATCCCTAAACCCACCCCTAATCCCTAAACCCAACCCTAATCCTACCCATCTCCACCCCTTGGATCGTGATCCGACTCCTCCCCGTGGATCTCATGTTCTGCATTGAGGTGCTACTGGATCGATCGGCCGGAGATCGGTATCGGCTGATAATAACATTTTATGACTCGATCGGTACTCACTAACTTGGCCGATCTTACAAACTGATCGCGATTTGATGACGTCAACGCGTGAGAGGAAGTATGATGCGTGGGGACTTAAATTATTTGGCACGCAGTCATGCCTTCGCCGTTGTGGAACTACTACGATGTTTCGAAAAAAAATGACAAATTTGCTATTTGCTGAGTATTTTCCAAAGAAAATACGTGGACGAGCATTGTCCAAAACATTTAATACAACAAACCTGATTTGTCACTTAAGAACGAGCCACCGCGAGACGTACAGGTATGGTGAATATGAAAAACTGGCAACTGCAAAAAAGGCAACGGTAACTAGTAATCTGACTCTCACTCAGCTTTATTTTGTCCTGCTCAGACTTGTATTGGACGATGTTAAAATTACATCAGACTTCTCCATCTTAGGAGACTAAATGTTTATTTTGTCCTCCACAGTATTGGACAATGTTTAAATAAACCTTATGGGCTGCATTAAACTGTTCCATTTTGTTTATTTGTCTTATATTAAGTCAATTAAGCATCGGAATTGGTATCGGTATCGGCCGATCACCATGACAAGAAATCGGTACTCGGTATCGGCTGCAAAAATCCTGATCGGAGCATCCCTAGTTTTAATTGTATATATCAGAGTCAATTTTTTGTTTATATGCCACAGAATGTCCGTATATCCATAAAGGGTGAGAACAATGATTCAGGAACTACACAAGTTGTGACAGTCACGGAGTGATTTTTCATTCAAAAACACATTAATTGAGGATCAAAGCTTGTATTGGTGTGTCACCGATTCATTCACTCACGCGATTATTCAAGCATTATTCAATGTGGTCATGTTTTTTCACTGAAATAGGAAGCTGTGATTTAAAAGAAATGCTATTGGCTATTTTAAAAAAGGGAGGAGCTATTCGATATGTCTCGCCCTGTACATATCGAACAGCTCCTGCCCTTTTTAAATAGCCAATAGCATTTCTTTTAAATCACAGCTCGGCCAGAGCCGTTGAGCTCAGTATAGGCGCCGTTTCCTCTTAATCTCTAACCGTTTCTCTTCATATTGCTTAAAAATATAGCATTCTGTGACTTGCGCAAATGATCCGCTCTGTGCTATCATGTCTCTGGACTGGAGCCGACTGTGCCTGTGTGCGCACTGCGGCGGTTCACGTGACACTATAGGTAAAATCAGACTTCATTCGCCCCAATGGAAAGCATATTTACGCTTTCTGAATCCTTCCCTATCCCCTATATTTCACCATGTATCAATCTGATGACACTAAATACATCTCTACAGTACGCATTGTGTTAGCATGGGTACACTGTAAAAAAATATTTTCATGATTTGTAATCACAACATTTTTTCTTTTGTAAAATCAACTTAAACCATTTATGTAGTTCATACAACATAATATTTTGAGTTTCTGATGATTAAATCAATCTCCTTCTTTGTATTAACTCAATTTTTCCATTTCAATAAACTTAAAATTTTAAGGCTACCAGGTTACTTCATTTTTTAAGTTAAACCAACGATATTTTTTTACAGTGTAGGTATAGGGTAGGTTTAGTTGGTTGCGTGCGTATTATACGTTTGATTGGGATTAGTGGTGTGGGCTGCGTGTTTATCAAATGCACACAAAAACTGCGTGTTGTAAAAACTAATTCTCGCGTATAAATTGCACGGTAAACACAACGAGTGCTATACGCATTAGTGACCAATTTTAGCTGCGGCTTCAGCATATTTATAATATGTGGGCAGGGCTTTTTATATTCTAGAGAGCATTTGATTGGACAGAAAATCTAAAGAGTATCAGAAGTGCAGGGTGATATCATCAAAATCATTTATCCACATTGGCGGAAGTTAGAGGTTGTGAGTTTTGAATGCTTAGCCTACATCTTTTAAATGTGAATTTTGCCATTGTTTTGGCGCATAACTAACAATAAGGCTAACATAAAAGCAAAAAAAGCGTACATTTTGATTTCATGGGGACTCTAAAAGCAACATTTAGTTGTGATGCTGTTCTAAATGATTTGCTTCAAATTTTCTAAAAAGTGTAGGCCTACAGTATCACAAAATCTGAGCTCGTAATGATTTTATATTCATTTATTGGTAGCATGTTTGATTTAATGGGTATTTGTTCAGACTGAAATGTAGACATATTAGACGTACAATTAACTGTGTTAGATGAGGTTAAAAAACAGAGACAATGTACGTTAATCAACACAGGGAGCAAATAATGTTAAAAGTTCATGTATAGCAAGTCAGGCGGGTATATTTTGCGCCATAAGCGTGGCGTTGAAGACAGCATAAGTAAAAAAAAAAAAAGATCAACTTCTGAAAACGCGTCAAATCCGAAACGCTCCGTCTGGCTGTTAAACGCAAGAACGCGTCCTGTGTGAATGCCTCACACCTGCGGGAAATACCTTGTACTGAACAGCAGCTAAATATAGATCCATCGCGAGGGAACCCGGTCACCGCACCGCGCCTCGCCACGCACAGCGTGTTTATCTGCATGTTGTTTAGCTGGAAAGTTTGCTTGTATCGAGGGCATCTTACCCATTTTTTTGCTGAAAGGGAAAACACACGATTTATTTAGAGGAACCTCTCAACTACACACGCGTAAAGCGCATTTTTAACTCCTTGTTCCTGGCGGTGCGCGTATCCAACAAGTGCATGCTCGAAGCTCAACTGCTGTGTCTTATAAGCGATTGAACTGCAAACAGATGGAGATGCCTGCCTAACGACCAGGTGCTCGAATCGATCCACGCAACCTCGCCAACACGCACATGTTTTGTCGCAGTGATAAAAACGCGCGTTTGTTTGATGCGCGTCGAGTGAGCTGGTGGATTATGTGGATCTGTTAGTTTCCCCGCCGATGGAGCCGCCGTAATTCGTTGTTCTGTTCATTTTCACAACAATCTAGAGACCAGGCGGTTCGCTTATATTTTGACGGTCCGAACCCCAAAATCTTAGCCTACACCTAGTCCACGCGTTGACCTCCGAAGACTTGTAAATCCTCACAACTGGTTTCTTGGAGAGGGCTGCGCAATTGCGCACGCTGTAAGAGTACGATCGGCGCTTTCCATGGAATCCGCTCCACCCGTGATCTCCATGAGGTTTCGGTTCGATCTGAAGTGGGGTAAAAAGTTGCAGTCTGGACAGTAAATCACATATATGAGGATCATTAAACACGTGCTTACACACAAGCGCAAACATGCCTATGCATCCGGTGACTTCCACGTTGATGTACCGGGGGATCTGCACCATTCCAGATATCCTGTCGTACCGGGCACCGGTCAACCTGCCTGAGGATGAGGTGGAAGGTGAGTGAGAGGGTCCGGAGGGTTTTTAAGCCCCATATTCTGTTGTTATTCTTTATGAAATGACTAAACGCGTACTAATTCTTGCATTGCTTTAGTCTATTTCACCCTGTTTCCTAGACCTGTTTGTTGTTGTTGTTTTTTCTCTCTATCTCTCTTTTTCTGTATCTGAGTGACCCAGTTTCGATTTAAAATATATTGTTAGAGAACAGTGAAGTGAAATGATATATCCTGTAATTTTTTTGTTTTGTTGGAACAAGTTTGTAATGATTTTTTTTTTTAAGTTTGTAAGGATTTAGCGCAGTGCTTTTAAAACGCGTGACAATCCGGTTACCTGTGCATGTGTTTCTCTATGATTGTATGATTTATTTAAATTAGGTCTATTACAAGTCAGAATGTGTGATATGCTGCAGTTGAAACATCTCTTTGGCTTTTTCAAACAAGTGAACAAATCAGAAGTAAAACAAAATAGGAAGTCGCCATTCTAAGCCATAAAAAGCCCTGTAACATATTAAACTAAATATGCATTTGCAATTCGTCAGAGTATTTCCATATCTTACTCATCAGTGTCAGAGTGTTTACCCTGATTAATCATCTGAATATTAGTATAAAAACACAGTAGTCACATTATCCTTCAATACAACTGGCTTTTTCTATGGGGAGTAGCCTACAGTAGGTCTCTTAACCCAGTAGAAACACCTGTTATTGGTATGCAGCAATTAATATAGGCTACCTCTTTAATGCGGACCTCTCATTTGGAGTAATGACTCAGTCTCTTCAATACCATGTTATTAAGCAAAAAGCCAACACTTTCATTTTTAGCATCTGAAACATATCGCACTGTATCACATGCAAATGAATAGGCTTGTTGATTATTTTCTTCATAAACTACATTTTACCCCATGAGTTTCCCAATAATGGTCTTGTAATATCCCTCCACTGCACAATTTGGATGTCTCTTAAATAACACACTTGATTTCAGCACATTAACTGTGACATGAAATATGAGTGTCAGATAGAGAGACACCCAAAATTTGCAGTGCTGCGGACCTACAGGATCAGGATTGAAAGTACCTTGATAAAAATCCAATTTCAACAAAGCAGTAAAATGCCATTTGAACTAGACGCATATAATAAACACAAATAAATGGCTTTATTGTATTTCCCACCACCATGCAAATGCTTTAGGTATAGGCTACGTGTGAAATACAAAACATAGACAGCATTGTGACAGCATTAATGTATTGTGTATAATATATACTGTACAGTTTTAAATCAAATTGATCGATTTATTTCTTAATTGCAAAAAATATCAACGTTTGTAATGTGAGGGTCTGTAATTGTGAATGACACAACCATTCACTCAGGGTTTCTAGTTTAGTTTTTCTATTAAAGTCTGTTTCTGCTATTAAACATTGTGTATTGACGTCTGACTGCTGTGATTGTCGGCTCGTTTCAAAGTGTCTTTCCAGGTCAATCTTTTGTGACTAAGGTTTAATTAAGCCTCTCAGTACCTCGTTGCGAATCCATTCACCAAGGGATGTTTTCTATCAGTACATCTATTTATGAGTTATAACTCAAAAAGGCTGATTCTCATGCTCTTAACACTTAAAACCCTGTGGTCTGAATAAACACAAGCTACAATGATGATTTAGGCAATGTTCAGATTTATGGGTACACAATTATGGGACAAAGCTTTCAAAACAGATGCAGGAATAATGAAGGTGCAATGGCGAAATCTTTGAAAATGCCATTTAAACAAGGTATAAATTCTTCTTTCATTTCTGTCACCAGTTTTTGACGTTATGGGTGTGTGTCACGTTAAGAAAAGAGAGTTTGAAATCCGATTTGAGCAGCCAGACCGTCCAGACTAAATCTGTAAAAATCTGGTTGGAATCGCATTTCAAACCTCCAACTATGGTTTGAATCCCCCCAAAAAAGTGGACTTTCCAAACCCCTTCTGGATAAAATCTGGTTACGCAAAAAGCATTTTCACTGGCAGTCTGAAAAAGAACTTAACTTGATTGTTCTTAACTTGATTGTGTGGAAACTGTACATACACAACCATCTAAGTGTAAATGTGACAGTCAATCTATTTGCAAATGTGCCTACTCGTCATCCACAAAGGAAACCTATGCCACATCCCAGATCATATACGGTAGACTGTATAGCATTTCCACAGAGATGGAAAATAGAGAGTAAATATGAGCAGAGTTCATCCCTGTAACGGTTTTGCTTTTATACGGATTTGCTCACCAAATATAAACATCTCATGGACCAAACTGTTGGTTGAAGTGCTTCACACTGACGAAGTAGGCCATGCTCTTGCTCATCCTTAGGATATGTAGTTGTTTATTTGTGAATCTTGAGTTTGAGCCAGATCTTTATATTTTTCTTTGAACTCATATGGCACGCTGGGGGCAGAAATTGAGACGTAATTTGTGAGCTGGATCCGTGCATCTTTATTTTAGTTAGCGAGTTGTATTTCATCATGAAGCCGTCCTTATTCAAAATGAAGAATGAGGATAAGAGCCTCGGATAAAGCTAGAAGACTTCATTATTATTCTCAGTTGAAGAATGCTTAAAGTCTGGTTCAAAAACGTAGATTTTTTTCTTCTTTAGTGGGCTAATAAATAGGGTTGGGTATCGTTTGAATTTGAACGATTCTGATTCCGATTCCTTGTTTCGATTCCGGTTCCTAACGATTCTCGATTCTGATTCTTTTAAGAGGCAGGGTCAAAAAAGTTTAGCTAACCTTGCTAACCAACGGCCTTTCTGAAGGAAATAATCCTTTCTGAAGGAAATACTCCTTCTGTAAAAATACTCCTTTTGTCACAAATTTTGCATTTTGCCGAGATTTCGTTATTTTTAGAAAAGTGAAGCCACACTTTGGATCGCGGACGTAAAGGTACTCATGTTCGCGTGGTTATGCCAACACTTCCGGTAGACGCTTCTTCACTGGTGTTGTTCATTGGTTTCTTCTTCCGCTCGGCGGACTGTGAATATCGAAACTAGGAATCGAAATTTTAACTTTTGAACGATTCCGGGAAAAACGAAAAGTTAGTCTTGGTTCCAATCGATACTCGATTCTCGATACCCAACCCTGCTAATAAAGGAAGATGAATGGAGAATTGAGCTTTCCAATTCATCCAGATGACTCGTGTGCTATATTCAAAGTATTCTTCCATACAAAAGCTTTGTATGAAAAACAAACTGCTGAGAAAATCATTAATCACTGATAATCCTCCATTTAATTGGGCTGGTAACCATTAGGAATCAAGTCAGTGAGTTGAGACGATCAGTGAAAAAAATCATTCAGACTGGTTTAATGAACCAGTTCGATTGATTCATTGAAACTCAGGATCGGATCTCATTCAATCATATTATATGCACAGGAGAACTTCTCACAAAAAATGTATGCCTAATTATTTAATATATATTGGTGTTTCTTGAAGTAAATGATCCAAATCATATTCAAAACGTGAATGTAACAGTCGATTTATTTGCAAATGTGCCTGTCACTGAAAATCAGACGCACATATTTCAGAGACATAAACTTGGAATAACTCCATAATTAATATTTAGTTGAAGCACCCTTTGAGTTTATTACAGCACTCAGTTTGTTTAGATACGAAAGTAAAATAAAACGCTAGTTAATACCACTAACAAGGCTCAAAATAGCCCCACAGTAACATAATGAGGGTCCCTACATGCAAAATGAAGCATTGAGAACTTTGTAAGTGTACAGACCGTTTAATAAGAAGATATTTTATAGATAGTTCACTTTGTGTATACAGACAGAAGCCATCTTTGGAAAACAGTCTTGACTAGTCAAACCACAAACGATGTGCTGAAGTGAGCTGAACTTCTGAACTGTATGAACCATAGATATCTATAAAAAGGCTAGATGTCTCACGGCGGAGTATTTATCGTCATCACCGGCGGCCATCTTGTCACAGACAGGCTTTCTGGCGTAAGAAATACTCTTATCTCGTTGAAATCTTGACGGATTTACAAACGGTTTGGTTTCTTACAAACGTTATTAATGTGGCTATAATTCTGGATGATTATTTATTTATGCACTTATTATTCATAAGTATGCAGTATCATAACTACATCTCTGTCATTTATAACAAACCAGACCGTTTGAAAATCGGTAGAAAATTGAGCAAGTTACGGTGATTTAAAAAGTACATGCACCATTAAAACAATGTTACCAGTGAGCGAGCTGCCTGTGACAAGATGGCCGCCAGGTGCTGACGTCGACCTCCATTGGCCAGCAGCGCGGACGAGATATCTAGCTTTTATATAGATATCTATGGTATGAACGGCGATCGGGGTTCGACTTGTCGAGTCTGTTTTCCAAGATGGCTCCTGTCTGTCTTTATAAAGTATCTTCTTATTAAACGGTCTGTACACTTACAAAGTTCTCAATGCTTCATTTTGCATGTATGGACCCTCTTTATGTTACTGTGTTAGTGTGGGTCTATTTTGAGCCTTGTTAGTGGTATTAACTAGCGATTTCTTTTTACTTATTAAATGCCCCCATATACTAGCGTTATACGCTAAACTGTTTTTAGAGATAAAACTCTTTACATTCGATTATCATGAACACAAATCTCAGAGAACGGTTGACTAGGTACCCATGTTTTATTAGACCAAAGGTTCATTTTGCGACAGAGTTCTTGGTTTATTCAACAAGGCAGTTACGCAAATTTAATTTGTGTGTTGTTTGTGTTTGAGTAGTGAATGACCCATTGTTACTTCTCATGAGGATGAATGTCAGTATTTTTTGTGGATAACAGCTTAAATTTCAGTTGGTTTCTCATGCAAAGGAAGCAGAAAGCTGCTTTTTTTTTGTTGGCCTTTATTCACAGTGACCCGTATGATTCACATGCACTGAATAAACATCCATTACCGCTAAGGCTTTCACTGAATGCGCATTCAATACAAACCAGCCGCCGTGAGAGGGAAATTCAGTTAATGTTCAGGGTCCTCCGTGT